CGTCTATTTATAACACTCTAGCAAGACGCTTCTAACTTCTTCATTCTAACTCGAAACTAGGATCTATTTGTGCCTACGAACTCCTGGGATCGAGATTTACTACATAAACTAAAGATTTGACCAAAAAAGATGACTAAATTTTTAAATGCTCAAAATACCCCTAACTTCACTTTCTTCAAAATCGGAGAATTATCTCCAAACTTCAATTAGATCTCTGAAATGCTTCTAAAAATGAAACAAAATACTAAAATTTAGGATGAGATATCACACGTACATACCAAGAAGTTTGATATTGCTAGGTACAAATAAAAATCTTCCCCGTCCACCAGTTTGCCCATTAGTGGAGGGTCAGATAAGTATTCATTTAGCTTTATGAAAGCTTCTTCACATTCATCCATTTAGAGTAAGCCTTTGCTTTTCTTTATAGCAATGAAAAAAGGTTTGCATTTGTTGGTAGACCGCAAGAGGAAGCAACTAAGTGCTGCTGCTTTTTTGGTTAGACTCTATATTTCCTTTATTGTTCTTGGGGACTTCATATCCATGGCCGCCTTGATCTTATTAGGATTGGTCTCTATTATGCGTTTAGTCACTAGGTAATCCAAGAACTTTCCAAATGCCACTTTGAACGTGCACTTTTCTAGATTAAGCTTCATGTTGTACCTCTGAAGTAAGTCGAAAGATTCCTGAAGGTGATTAAGATCTTTCTTCTTATTCTTTTGACGACCATATCGTCTACATAAACTTTCATTGTTTATCCAATCTACTCCTTAATCCAGTTGACCAACTTTGATATGTTGCTCCTACATTTTTTAGACCAAAAGGCATAACTTTGTAATACTGCATACTCGGTCTATGATGAAGGAAGTTGTTTCCATGTCTGGCTTATGTATCTTTATCTAGTTGTAACTGTAATATGCATCCATGAAGCTTAGTAACTTGTGCCTCATTGTGGAGTATACTAGCAAGTTAATCCGAGGAAGAGGGTATGGACCCTTGGAGCATTCGGCATGGTGGACTTCGATGATGAAGTTGGCGTCTCTAAGTTTTTCGATATCTGATTTAATGATATTGCTCGGCTTTGTGCCATAATTCTGCTTCTGCTAGATAACCAACTTGTCAATTGGGTCTAAGTGGAGTTGATGGCAAATGGTGAAGGTGTCGATTCTAGGCATATCTTTCACAAACAATGCGAATACATCCTTGTTGGCCCGTAAGAAAGATGTGAAAAATTCTTTCTCATGGTCAAACAACTTGGACCCTATCTTGGCCCTGCGCCTCGATTTATCGAGGTCAAGACTGATGTAGACAACATCCTTGTCAGCCTTGGACTCTTGATTGTTGTTATCTTGGGGGTCAAGGTTTAAATCGAATTCTTTGTAATTTAGTTGTTGACCGTCCGGTTGTGAGTGTTATACTATCTCATCCATGGTAGATTTGGGAGACCGTTCTCCTTTCCAGATATCATTTATACTTTCTACCATGCATCAACGTGCTACTGCCTGATCTCTCATAATTTCTTTGACTTCGCCGGGCGCTAGGTAATAAAATAGTTGATGGAAATATGAAGGGCTTGCTTTCATCTTATGGAGCCAATTGCTTCCTAGTATGGCATTGTGCGAAGTTGAGGCAATCCATGATATGGAAAAACACCGAGTAGTTGTAAGGTACACATGAACTGCAAGCTTCACCATTTTAAACGACTGGACGAGAGTTTCGATGAAGGTGTGGAACGTAGTCTTGCTTTTGTTAATGATATCCAAAATCCTCATCCTTTCAATTGCATCCTTGAAAAAGATGCTCATCCTAGCCCCAATATCCACCAGAACGCGGCTGACCATATTGTTAGAAATTTGGACCTTAATGACAAAAGCATCATCGTCGGGTGAATGAATATCCTCCAAATCCTGATCAGAGAACATTAAGATATTAAATTTGATTGAGAGTGGTTTGTTAATACTCGCCACCATTCAGGGCTTCTTGCATGCTGCATTTCTTCTTTGTAGGTCTTCCCATGTACTTTTTCTCCCCATAAATGCAAATGACCTTGAGTGTGAGACATTCGGTTAGGTCTTAGCTTTTCGAGGATTGTTGAGTTATTTGGGGCTTCTTTCGTGAAGCCTTAGAAGCACGGCGTTGGTGCTTTGCTCACTGAGTTTTGGCAAGCGGTTCTTGTTGGAGTCTGAATGGGCGTTGCCTTTGTCTCGAGTTCTGTAAAACTAAAGACGACTTCCTCTAGGGCAGTCACACATCTTTCGAGGTTAGCGAATCTTGCGTGCTTTCTATTTCACGAGTCCTTTCGAAGCTTGTCAATGATTACATAAATATGTAGCAAACTCTCCCAGATCCTATTTATGGGTGAAGTATCCTCGTTGGTGCAATTACACCGTGGGGACGATGCTGTAGTCATATTATTAATAAAGTGATGTGGTCAAAAGGTTCTTGAGTTCAACTCTCAATGAAAGCACTAATAGTTAGAACCAAATCCGCACATTGCCATGAGTGGTGGATATGCTCGAATTCGTTTACCTGTAAAAGTACACACAATCGTGAGTAAGCTTAAGACCCGGGGGGTATGTCAGTCAAAGGCTTTTCGATGATCAAGTTAGTACGCAATATTAAGACTCAAGCAGTAAGCAAAATGTGCAGAGATTGTGCTACCGGAGATGAACCCTAGAAGGACGTATTTAAACTAGTCAAAGATATGACCTTTTAGGATAGTAGAATCCATATTAAACCGGAAGAATCCATGAGGATATCTAGGAAGTAGATATTGTATCCTCTTAAGAGTGATATTACTTGCGGCGCACGCCAATCCTTAAATTATAAGGACTTCAAGATTATAGAAAACTTGTTGATTCCTTGCTCAATTAGGTTCAGAAATCTTACGGAACAAGAATGGTCTATCTCAACAAAGTCGACAAACTTCACTCACAACTTCTGAAACAGGATAATGGTCGCATCTCTGATTCATTTAGTCAGCTCCGTTTTAGACACTATTGCGTCCATGACTGGACTTTTGAGGTTGGTATACTTAGATTTGTGTTACTCCAGCCTTGGAAAATTATGGTCCTACATAACATTTGTGCCTTGTGAATGACTTTTTGTGTATATTGAACCACATTTGTGCTTGTAGTTGCTGAAAAAAGAATTGTGAAACAACATAATAACTTACATAATCAAATTATTACTTTTCAAATAACCTAAATTTTAACATGACTTAACAATAAAATTTTATTACCTCATTGGCTAGATTATCGCCACTTTAATAAATTTCTTCCTCTTTATGTAGATGTTTGTACTTGCTCAACATAGATTGCTCAGTCCATGATGTGCTTTGAATCTGCTCAACATATTGTGCATGAATCTTCTTCTACATGTGTTGCATTCTCATCTTTTTCCCATGACTAGGTCATGAGTAATAAGCACCCAAGCCTTAAGCAAAGCAATGTTTTCCCCAATTGACCAATTTGCCTTCTCACTCATTTTTTGTGTGCTAACAAAAGGATTTGGAAAGTAGATAACAAATATAGGAGATTGTAGTAAAAATATATATTGAGCTATGATGTGGGGAATGAAGAAGATTGTTGGGTATTTATAGAATAAAATTGGGTATTTTTGTTTATATTTTTTGGGTAATTTTTGGTTTTTTTTTTTTTAAGATTGGATAAATTATGGCTATTGATTTTCAAAATCTTTTGAAATCCCATGCGCCAAATTTTGCCACATGACACAGTAGAAGAATTTTCAATTTTGTTTACTGTTGAAAATCCAATGGTCCAAATCAACGAAATGTTGGGGCACACCTTTTGCTTGCATGATGTTATCGTCGATGGTAACCATTGCGAGCATACTAAGGTCTGGTTTGGTATTGAGGTGATTTTGAAAAAAATTGGTATAAAAAAAAGCTGGGAGCTATTTTTGTGTTTGGGAAACATTTAGCTTCAGTTTTTTTTCACAATTTTGGGTGAAAAAAAGCCAAAAACAAGAAGCTGCAAAACCCAGCTTTGAAAAACCGGCTTTTTTTCACATCTGTTTTACATAAAAGTTTACCAAACACTATAATACTGCTTTTTTTTTCTTTTCAAAAGCACTTTTACAAAAAAGTTTACCCAACACTATACTGCTTATTTTCACAGCACAATAGAAACAACTTTTTTTCAAAACACAGCAATACCAAACAAGCCCTAAAGGCACGCCACTTTTTGTCCAGATAGTTCAACGGGCTATACTGCCAGCAACCCAGCTGCCTCATTCTTTTTGGAGCGGCGGTGCTCATTTTGTTTGGTTGGGTGCAATTTAACCCAATTGCGTGGACATTTGGAGCTCCGTTGGACTGCTCGTATAGCGATGCCAAAACCGTTACTTAGGGACAGGTGTCATCAATCCAATCAAGGGACAGTTAAGCGACAGATATAATGGGAACACAGGATCCAAGCTCGGTTAACTCCCGCTCAAGTTGCCTCCTCCGTCTCGCAGACCCCGCGAGAACGACTCAGACGGTCTCGCCTCCGTCGTCTCACTCCTCCTTTCTCTATCTCTCTGGAATCGATCGACCTATTCCAAGAGGATCGACAGATCTGAAATGGTGTTTAGGTAGGTAGCTTCTGGGCACTTTTTTTTTCTTTCTATATTTTTCTAAATTTCTTTCCCGTTTCTGAAATCAATTCTTGCTATTTCTTCTCGGTGTTTGCTGAAATTTGTGTTCAATTAGTATTAGAAGTGAAATAAATTGTTAATTTTGACCGCATTGACAAGGGTTTAGGGCTTCCGAGAGCTAGGGTTTAAGGATTCTGTAATTGTTAATTAAGAATTCTGTATCATTTAGCTGCTTCGATTATTTGTAGTTAATTTTGTGGCAGAGTGTTATCATCTGTTTCGATTATTGCCGGTGCAACAACATGCTTCTTAATTAATTAAATTACACAAAACAAACCCTAGACCCTGTATTTCTCTACTAGGGATTTCCCTCCTGAAAATTGAAATGTGAGGGAGAAAAAAAAATGAACGAAGCTCGGAGCTCTGATCCATTGGATCCGCTGCAGGGTTTCACAGGCCTCTCCCTCTTCCACCAGAGCAAAGGCCATCCCAGACAGTTCAATTTCCATTCCCTTCGATTTTGACCTCAACCTTCAAGCCATCCGTTTCCAATTCAACTCCACGGTACTTGGTCACACTACTCTACTCCCCAAAATTTATATTTGAGATCAATATTTAGTTTGGGTGAAAAGTTTTCAGTTTAATCATATTTCTGCTTACTGTGAGTTTGTTTCGGGGAAATATTGTTTTTTCTTTCATTTTTCGAAATTTTTGTTTTGATATTTTTTTTAGTTTATGACCTAGAAATTATCGGATTAATAATTTCATTTTTGTTTGGAATCTTGTAATTTTGCTTTTATTGTCTAGTTGATTGAGCTCAGTGTGACAATTTTGATGTGGGTGCTTATGTGAAGCCTATATTTTCTGTTGGTTGCTGAGAAAACGAATGGAAATGGTATAAATATGAACTTTTGGCACTTTGTAAAAATTTTGAAACTTGGAATTGGGAAAACTATAAATTTTACCAGAGTTTGATTTTCCTTTTCAGAATTTTGGGGATATTAACTTTGGAAAGCTCATCATACTATTTATTTTATTTTATGCTTACATTTGTTAAAATGCAACAAGACTGAGAACCAATTAATTACTGACTTTATATTTTAGTATAAGGCAATACCGATTCTATGGGTGGGTTCAGGTTTCGTCTCAAATAAAGTCATTCTGTATCTGATCTCTTGTGCAGTGGAATTTTATCAGTGGGTGGAATGCTTTCATAGTTAATTTTTTTCTAGTGTTTTTTCAGGCCTCACAAGTTAAACTTATAGATCAGGTGAAAAACAGTTTAAGTGATACTTCGAAATTCTGAAGTCTGGTATTCCACAAGCTAAACAGAATAGTGAAGTTGTTCCTGAAAAGGCTGAGTATAATCACCTAAAAAAGAATACCAGCCTCCGGTCGTGAACTTGCTCGTTTTTCTGTGAAGCCTAATTCCAGGTAAAGTGTATGGTTGGTGCTTTTGATTTTCTCAAGAGTCACTTTTACAGCAATAGGTTGATATTTGGTTGTATTCATTTTGCAGTCAACCTAATATGTGTTCACTACCACCTTTTGACATCAGTCGGCATGAGAGTAAGTTGCTCTCCCTCTGTGTTCCTGAATTTATGCTACAAACCCTTGTGCAACTGTAAATTTTGATGCTTTCTGATCGGTGCACAGATGCTAGAAAAGGAAAAGAGAATTTGAGGGGTGGTGCTGCGTTGGATGCTGATCAGCAAGCCATCCATATCCGACTCAATTCCATGGTACTTACACAATCTCCATCTCATTTTGTCCCACTAACTTATTTTACTATATCAAATAAAAGTTTAAGTTTACTTTTATTTCTTCTGAGTCTCAGTTTATCTTGGGTAAATATTGTTTTTCTTAACATGCTACCTTTTCCAGTGTATTTATTCCTTAATATTATGACCTAGAAATTTTATGAGGGGATCAAATGTCTAGTTGATTGAGCTCAGTGTAGTTATTTTGATCTGGGTGCTTGAGTGAAAACTGTAATGCAGATTGGTTGCTGGGAGAATGAATGACAAGTAGATAAAAGCATTTTAATATGAGCTTTTTGACACTTTGTTTGAATCTTGGAATTTGGGTAGTCTGAAAATTGGAGCGTGATGAATTTTTTCCTTTCAAAGTTTTGGCAATTTTAATCTCGAGAAAGCCCAGAATGCTATTTATTTATGATTAGGTTTGCTATATTAAAGAAAAGCAGACGGAGGACCAATTGATTTTTCATTACGGAATTTATATCTTATCATCTCCCATACAGTGGGGAACTAACTCTGTAAGTATGTCCTCATTATAGGGTTAATTTTTGCCTTAAATAAAATTATAAAACCTTTTTATATTAAATCACTGTTATACATAATGCAATCACTTGTACACTGCAGTTCAATCACAGAAGCAATAAAAGTTAATTCTTATGGTGCTTTTTTCAGGCCGCACAACATAGTCCAAGTAAACTTAAAGATCAAGTGGAAAACATTACAAGTGTTACTTCAGAAATTGTGGAGCCTGGTAATCAACAGGCATTGAAACAGAAAAATAAAGTTGTTCCTGAAAAGGCTGCGAAAAGTCCCCGACAGAGAAGACCAGCCTTGGGTCTTAAACGTGCTCGGTTTTCTATGAAGCCTGATTCCAGGTAAAGCTTACAGTTGATGCTTCATTTTATTAAAGTATTTTTACTCTTTTAAAGATAGAGGTTGATGTTTGTTACATGCAGTCAACCTAATACGAATTTGCTAACACCTTTCAATCCCAAAAATTATAAAGACCCAGAGGAATTGTTCAAGGAACATGAAAAATATGAGAGTAAGTTGCACCCCGCTTGTATTTCATAATCTTTGCAAATTCTAGTCCAACTGTAAATTTTACTGCTTTCGGATTTGTACACAGATGCTAAAAAGGAATTAGAAAAGCTGAAGGGTGGTGCTATGTTTGATGCATACAAGCACAATCCATCCCCAATTAAACGAACCTGTCGACCATCGATTATGAGGTAATAATAAATTTTATTTAATGGCCAGAAAATATATATTTTCATCTATTTGTTCATTATGCCTGCATTAGGATCTAGCACGCTTTTTTTTTTTTTTTTTTTTGTTATTAGGACAGCAGTGTTTTTTATAATGCAGAAAGCGGGCTAAGCACAAGCATTCCTATCCGCTGATGGATTTTGAAAGTAGTGAGAATGGTAGTCCACTGAACCATTGCTCACAAGTAGAACCTAATGAAAATGTTACATGGGAGGAGATGGATTTAGCTGGTAAGAAAATGCTGTTAAAAAGGTCTTTTAGTATCTACTGTGAATCATGACAAATCTTTGCGTGTATGCATACATAGATACATATTTTCCCTTTCCATCCCCTTATTATTCATTCCTTGGGGCATGATAACTGTGACCATTACAGGTTCATTAGCTGAGGAAGTGAACGATGGAAGTTTTGATGAACTGCTGTCTCTAAATACTGAATGTCTAGAAGATGATGAGGCAGTCACTCATGTACAGAAGTGTTTGAGGATGAAACCAATTGAACCAGAGAAATCAGACCTCCCAGAATTCCAAAGTATGACAAACATAGATAATTTGGTAAAAGGGTTAATCAGTTCAACAGGTGTGGAACATAGAAAGCGGGCAGAAGGGTCTGTTCTTTTTGCATCTCCAACATCACCAAAAAGCCTTTCTGCTTCGGTTCTGGATTTGCATAAGAGAATTTTACATTCAAGTCAATCAAGCGATCCATTTTCAGCTCATGATATTGATCAGTTGCCAGTGACAAATCCTTCTTCGGTTGAGAACTGTGACAAACAATCTGAGCTGGTTGACATGGGAGAGTGGATTACTATTTCTAATGAGTTGAAGTCACATTTAATTGAACCAAGTGACAATTTTGAAGTTGCCGAGATAGGTCCACCTGACATGGATTTTGAAGAATTCAGTCATGCATCAAAAAGATCTGCGAGTGAAGATTCAAGAAAACATGATGCTAGAATTGAGTTTGGCTCAAGTGGATCTCACGTTGACATTGAGGATAACATTGGAGGCAGTAACATGCATAACAGGGTTATAAATGATACATCAAGTTGCCCTAATGCTGATACAGATGCTTGGGACAATGGGGACAATGATGGGGATGAGGTCTGTTTACCTCTCATCTTGTTTTTACGTGTTTTATTTATGTAATTATAAACTTTTGCTGATTTTGTGATGTATTATGAGAAGATACTGGTCGAAAACGAGCATGAGGAAGCAGTGGCTAGTGCAGAGCCTGAACTTTATGTGGCAGACTCAACTTTGGGAAAGGCGAGCAGCACTCTGAATGACAATACACACCCTGATGCTGATACAGATAATTTGGACAGTGGGGCTAATGATGGAGACATGGTCTGTTTACCTTTTTGGCTTGTTTACATTTATTTTTGGAATTGTAAACATTTGCTTATCTGGCGATTTATTATGACAAGATACAGGTGGAAGACAAACATGAGGAAGCAGTGGCTAGTGAGGAGCGTGAACTTAACGTGGCAGACTCAACTTTGGAGCTGAACTCACGCCCACAGAGAAGGCGGAAGAGTAGGGAACTTTCTAGAAGGAAAAGTCTAGCAGGTGTTTACTCATACATATGTGACATCATATAAATATCCAATTCTGCTGCTGCTTGTTTACTGCTATTAATTAATATTCATTGTGTTTGAATATCCACTTCTCAGGGGCTGGTACAACATGGCAATCAGGTGTTAGGCGAAGCACGAGGATCAAGACAAGACCTTTGGAGTATTGGAAAGGGGAGCGGCTGTTATATGGACGTATACACGATAGTGAGTATTTTGTGTGGATATTGTTGGATCGATCACAGTTAAAATGCTTTTTGTTTTCATTTTTGCATTTACCAGCCCTCACACGTGTATCTGGTTGCAGTTTCACTTTCTATTACGCATAAGAATTGTATTGGATATTGCAGGTTTGGTAACAGTGATCGGGATTAAGTACGCCTCTCCAGAAAAGGATAACGGAAGAGGTCCTCTGAAGGTGAAGTCATTCGTATCTGATGAATACAAAGAGCTCGTTGAGCTGGCAGCTTTGCATTGACATGGCTAATCACGTAACAATACAAGATTTGAGATATGTAATGGCGTTTCTTGTTCGTTTCATCCCTACGAACATTTTTTCGTTTTAATAAATGTTCGTCGAAGTAACCAGTGCTGCCTGTTGTAAAAACTCACTCTCCATGATGATCAGCATATGAAAGGTGGTTCTCTCATTGCCCTTTTTATCTTCAAATATTTTCTGTTTCTGAGACTCTAAATTGTTGAAGTCCCCTTAATACCCTTCGTTTTTCTTTATCCGGCGTCACAGACGACAGCAACTTTTATGGGGCCATATGATTGTTCATCTTCATTTTTGAACTAACTCAACCAAGAAAGAAAGAAAAGAAAGGAACAACCTTTCGAACAATCAAAAACACTCGCACAAGAAAATATCGAGTAATTGTATCGTATCGAATAGCCGGAGTAACATACTTTGCATTAATTCCACACTCGCAGCATTCTCTAAAATTAAGAAACAAAAGAATGAGAATGTCATCTTACTGGTACATGTTCTATTTGGGTCTCATGCACTTGAGAAGAACGTCTACAAATTTCTTGTACATGTGCCGCTTTAGGTACATCCGCTCTACCTTTTCTCGTCCTTTCAGTCCCATTTGCTTCCTTAAAACTGGGTTCTTCAGATAAAACCGAAGATTTTCAGCGAGGCCACGGGTCCCGGATTGCCCCACAGGATGAAGCAGACCTGTTACATTGTGTTCAACAATCTCCTTTGTGCCTCCAGCTTCTGTTCCAACCACCTGCTCAAAGCAAAAACAGAGGAATTGTATTTGATCAAATGACCGAGATGTATTCGTGAGGCCATTTCGCTTCACAGAGGCATGCATAAAAGTATCACTGTTTTTCGTCATTGCATAGCCGATTCTGAGATACTGACTTTACGTAGTTGTTAGAAAAGAAGGATTATGCGTTTGCAGATCTAAGGTTCGGTTAGCAAGACTAACTGTCAGCAGTAGACTTAGGATGAGGAATAAAATCAACTTGTATGTCATACCGGAAGACCGAATGCCATGGCTTCAATTGTCACTCTCCCAAAAGTTTCTCCCAGTCCCTGTGCACCGTTTGACAAATTGTGTTAGTTCTAAATGACATCGAATAATTGATCAAATACATACAAGCGTAAATCAAGTTTAACAAGATGGATCACCTGAGAGTTCATTACATAAACGTCAGCTGCGGAGTATAATGCGGCTACACGTGTGGTTGCTGGAGTCCACAACACTGACTTTGACAAGTTTGAATGCTGAGACAGGAATCCTAAAAGTTCTTTGACATAAACGACCTTATTACTCTTAGATCCAACAGAACCAATAAGAAATTTAACAGACCGTTTGAGTGTTCCTCCTTTATCTGACAACACTTTCCTCTTATGAGTGACATCGAAAGTCAAAGCACCTGTACCATCAACAGAGGTATAGAGATTACTTAATGGAAAGATATTCTTCTGGGGTTCATTCAACTGGTCATCAGATTCCCTGGACGGTAGTAATCCATTTGATGATACACCATCTTTCAATTCTTGTAACAAAGCTCTCAAGTGATGTTTTCTACCCAAGGTAGAGCGGGCTTGGCGCTTACGTACTGGACTTTTTATCTTAGGATTATCTTTCAGAGGTTCTTCAATCATCAAGCGTGCTGAGTCAAGAAGCAAGAGCTGCCCCTTTCCAGGGTTTATACTGCTCAGAGTCATCACAAGCATATCATTATCGGTTAACCCCATTTCCTTTCTGACTGAATCTCGCAATAATTGTCTCTTCTCGAGCATCTTCTCAGTACTAGCAGATGGAGTATTGAGTGAACAAGCTATGCCAGCTACAAAGGCCAGCTCATCATTAATAGAGAGTGGTACAATGGCAGGTGGAGACCTAAGGTTAATCTTTTCTTCTTCACACCAGGCTTGCCATTGTTTAGACTGTGATTCTGATAGAAAAGCCAGCATTTTCACTCGGTTAAGCACAACCTTCGCGTGATCAAAGTATTCTCTCCGGTTTTCCATGATCCACCAAGCAATTTGACTTGCACCAGCTGGAAAATGATCCATGTATTGATCTGAAACAAGCAAACCAAGACAAATCATATCAGCTGCAAATTTAAGAATGGTTCTTTCTGTCCAGTCCCAAAATAGCAAATATGAATGTCACTTAGTTTAAAAAAAGTTTTAATACAAAAACCCACCAATGCAAAACAAACTAATAAAGTGTTAAAGGAATTTATGTATATACAAACTACTGAGGGAATACTGATTTCAAATTTATATCTGATGGCTCGCACAGAAAAATAAACGATGCATAAACACATCCTCAGAAGGTAAAGGAAACCAGAGCATAATAATAACTTAGTCGATGTCATTGTTATCCTAGAATGAAAAAACCCGTCTTACTTGCAGAAAACATGCATAGTTCCCACATCAATCTGTATGAAAGTAGATAAGAGTATTGGAGGACAGTACATGGTTTTCAACACAGGATAAATTACTTAGGCAATATATGTTGTTCCATCCACACGGTGCTGTAACATTTACATGGAAATCACTCTGGAGATTGGAGTCATCGGACCAATTTAACATGTTGATAAATATATGTTTTTACATGTATAACGTGTACTGCATGAGGCTAAAAAGGTACTGAAATCTGTAACTACACAAGCACAAGACTCGATGGTAGATACAAAATCAATCCACTGGCTAGCATAGAAACATTGCAACATGTTATTACTGGAAACAATATGGAGGTATTGATAGTTAATGTAATACACTTCAAAAATTTTGAGATCAGCAAATGTATTAACTTAGTTCTTAAAATGGTTCTCACCAATCCATGATGCACACACTGCCGACCCGGCGATGACAAGATCTGCCTTCATAGCAGTTTTGAAGCTTTGTTTTTCTTTATCCTCAAGCACCTTGATTCTTCTCCTAGCTAGCTCTGGCATCAAACCACCCTTCTTGCTAAGAACTACAGCAGAAACCATGGCTCCACAGCTCAAAAGCTCTGTTGCTAACTCCATCATAGAAAGTGGAGCCCCAGTCATTGACAGTTCATGGAATATTAATATAAATCTCCTAGACCAAACAAGACGTGCAAAGTCCCCCTTCCTGTCACAGGTTCCAGACCGCATTTTAGGACTCCATTCTAAAATTCGATCCTCTAGAACGCCAAATGGACCAACAAGCATCCCATAAGTAGTGTTTGTCTTAGGAAGGTCCAATTCCTGCTCCTCTGTCTCATGGCTATCAACCTCCACTGCTTTCTTCTGATTACCTTGCCCTTTACCACGAAGACTACGAGCTCCTTTTTTACTCCTCTTTTTTGGACTTGCGTTTCGATGAGATGAAACTCCATAATCCTTTTTTGTTGAAACTACACGTATCCTTTTACCATCTTCCACCTGATTTTCGGCGGTCTCATTCTTAACTTCCACAGAACTGTTGCTGGCAAGCAAATCTCTCTGCATATTCTGTTCATTGTCTGAGTTCCCATTCCTTGCTTTATTTTGAAACCCCAAGAAGTTATCCTTGTTATTGCTATGAGCCCAACTGGACTGAAAATAAACTCCCAGATAAGCCCAAAGAGTAATCAATAACAACCAAAACAATACCCGATTGCTCCGAAACCACTGTACACCACCACTACTTCTACCTTCTTTTTGTGGAGTACGGCTTGAATTCAATCTCCGAAATGAAGGAGAATTTCGAGGACTCGATCTTCCTGACAATATAGACTTAAAACTTCCAATTTCCCTCGACGGTTTATATTCCACTCTACTGCTATCCTCCATTGCTCTTTTTAAGTATTTTACAACAGAAAAAAGCTCAAAGCACACATTCTTCGAAAATCATCAGATTCTCTTTTAACAGCTAAAATACCTCCAATAACACTCAAACAGCTCAAATTTTTACAGTGATTTGAGTTTCTGCAACAATTAAGGATACAAAAAAGTTACTTTCTTTATACAGAAGAATGAGCAAATGTGTAGAATTAAAGACGCAAAAATTGCTTCCAGAGCCAAAAATTTCCTCAGCTGTCAGGAATCTTCTTTAAGTTCTTAAATAGCACACCGACTGAAATTTTAATCTGTTTAGCATTACTTGGAAATCCCCGCAATCGAACGGAGTACCTGCATCCAGCATTCTACCCTAAACCCAAAAAATCAGCACGCAGATTCTATGTTAATTTAACATCCATATCTAAGTCTGAAAATAGTATCACTGTAATTTGTAAAATCTCAACCAACTGGCAAAACACAGGAAAAAAATATCGAATTCATGTAAATCTTACCTGTCTGTACTAAAAATTAACAAAGTAAAAAATCAAGATCCAAGTATTTTCATTTCTTTACTTTCTCGGTCTTCAAAGTTATCCGATCCTAATTCTCACTAACTTGACAGACTTGAGTCATTTTCTTTCTATCCATTTTCTCGGCAGCCAAACAGACCACAAAAGATTGACTGATTACTACTTACCAAGAAACAATGCAATTACATCAGAGCTCCTTCTCTTCCAAATGGTTTTTTCTTTCTTTCGGGAAGATTCGGTAAGCAAATACGAGCTTTGAGAGGAGAGAGAGATTATATGGATTTGCCGTATGCTCTAGCTCTGCAGCTGCGGCTCCAAGATCTCGACGTTTCTTCTTGAGAGGGAGAGAGAAGCACAAGTTGCAGGGTGAGTGAGTGTGAAATGGCTGACAGGTTTTACAGACAGTTGGCATGTGTCTCATCTCTCTATATTTTTCCAACACAATCTGATCGCACGTGCGAGTCCGTAAACGGATTCAAGAAGCGGGGATTCCCTGCGGTACTTTCTGGCTATTGGGAGGGCCATGAGTTTGGGTTACGTGGACCGGATTTGGATCCAATACGGATTCTCTTTGTGAAAATTCTAATAGTTTTGACATTTTATTCATTTATTATATATCGTGCGGTAAAAATTATTTTAAAATTTTCATTTAAATTTAAACACAAACAATTTTTAATAAAAACTAACCTTACGATGTATCATAAACGGATAGATGTGAGGACCTGTAAAATCTGCACAAATAAGATGATCTTTATCCACGTGGACCAGAGTGCCTGGATTTTGGTCTGGGTCTTCTTCTCATTGACCTACGCTGAATAGAATTGTACCGGGTCCCACGGAAATGTCGGTGGGGTCTCACAGCCAATCCTGGCCCTTCATCTGTGTTGCCCATTTATAATCTGGCCCCACAAAACCCCTTTATAAAAACTTGCGAGTGTTCCGCAAGTGGCGGCAAGTTTCCGTTATTTTGGATAATTGCACGATCAAGCTTTGATTTCTTTATTTTGTTTGCGCTAAACTAACGTTAAAGTCAGTCGGTCATGCGTATTTGTATTTTAACGATTAGTGTATGTCATTTTTATTAACTGTAGATGACCCATGCGGACAATTGGTGTCAGCAAAAAATTAATGCTACGGAGACTAAATTTGTACACAAAATTTGCAAACTAAATTATGTGTCACCAATAGAAAATGAGCACGTTTATTAACGTTTAAGTAATAATCTAATCATAAATTTCCATGTCATTTTGTTTACTAAAGTTTGTCTACAAATTTAGTCTCCCTGGCATTACTCGTAACAAAATAATTGTGTACATAGTTAAATTGTTGTATTTCGTAAATATATTTTTGGTTTAATTCGTATTTACACAATGAATACAATACATATAGGGATACAACCATGTAAAGTTGTCAATATAAATGCAGTAATTCCTAGGGCTTTATAAGGTAACTAAGCCCCTTTCTAAGGGTTTTTGGTGTTCTGAATCACGTGGCACCCTTTGTTTGTGCAAATTCGAAGCCTAAATGGCAATTTTGGATAATTTTTCATAGAATGACTACTAGAAAAGCTTAGTTAAGCTACATGTCACATCCAAAGGTTTATTAGATTAAAAGGAGTCAAACAAGGAGCTTGACGAGGAAGGACGCTATACTTACCTATGAGTGGATTCCTTCGAAAACTAGGGTTTACTTTAAATGACCAACAATATGATTAGTTTAATGATATCTTGATACGATTGGTGATTTATTTTCACCACATGGTCATCATACATATCGTATAGTTATATACTGCAGTAGGTTTATTGCAAGTACTGATATTTCTAGTAGAGGTTAGATTCGCTAGTAGACACTAGTCATCGATCAGGTAGATGCCATTTTACTTGCTATACAACTTGATTGATATTGCGTGTTTGATTGAATTACTTTCTTTGACATGACGAGCGTTGTGCGATGTGAACTTTATTACTATTATGGTAGTATTATTATTTATGTAGTTTTCGACTCTATATGTGATTTCAAAACGGGAGTTAATATGCTCAAATGATTTTAACTAGATAAACTTGGTTCATTCTCACTTGGTTTGTTGACCCCTCAAGACATAGCAAGAACAAGGAAATCCGTGGGAGTGACAAGTGGGCTTGCCAGTGAGGTTTTCACTTACAGACTTGGTGATGGTTCCTCTACTACAATATTATCTAATTTGTAATATTCGTGTAATCTTACTTTTAATTATGCACTGCACTACACTTTATTATGTTAATTGTTATGCAAACTACTTTCTACTCTGAATTGATGTGATGTGATAATAATGGGATTGTATCCCTAAACATGTGTTCCCAAGTAGGAAGGTTGATTAGGATCGCTTAGTAGTTTACTTTTGAAATAAATAAAGAACATTTTAGTTCAAATTCATTCACATCATTATTACCTTGCGTTATTAGGTTAGCATTGTGACGACATCTTACGATGGAGTTATATCTTATGTATCAAGCCAACAGCCCAATGAACAATGTTTTATGGGATCACAAGCTTCACTAAAAATAAGTGGACAAAAATGCCTCCTCAAACAAAAAACTTCAAAAACAGTCCAAAATAATCCATCAAATGTGGCAAGAGTATTTTCGTCATTTTAATAGTACTTTTTTAATAATTAAATTTTTTTTTTTGTACAGTTATTTATTTATTTTTATAATTAGTACCTCACAATAGGTTAGCAATAATATGATTCAATCAGTTGTTCATTAAATATTATTTTCTCTATTTTTAAACACGTTCAAAACATTGCGTATAATACCGGTTATAAAAAAAAGTTTTTCGCACGCGCATAATAATGTGATTAATTAGTTGTCAAATGATTATTTTTTTTATTTTAAATAAATGATATTATCTACACTAAAGAGGAGGGGGTGGACTTAGCCTCACAAATGGACTATTAATAATGTGATTTAATCAATTGTTTATTAAATATTATTTTCTCTATTTTTAATATAAATTCAATAGAAACTGATTTTATTAAGTGAATTCAGCTGCTTTGATTGGTTTATGAGAGATTTCTTCTTGTATGATCTAAGATTATTCATTTATTTCAAATATTGGACTTTTCTCCTATCAATTTACGCATATAAATACATTTAAAATGTCTAAATCACACATAACACGCCGTGATTCAAAAAATACCTTGTGATCGCACTAAAGCTAGTTAAGCACATAACAACCTCGTAACTTTTGATTATCGAGGACAGGCATTAATGCACATATATATGGGCATTTTGGTATTTTGGTTAAACAAATCATTGTCATTCAGGTCAGGTAAGCAGTCAATGTCAGATTTAATCGTTAAACTTGTATCATGTTGTCCATTTCTAAGATTTAAGTACCCATTAGCATCCAAATCATGCTGCAATATGCCTTCAAATTTGCGACGACCTTCGATCGGGAGGCGGATGGTCGACTGCCCTGGCCGCCTCAGACCACACAACCCAGATCGAAGGCTGCCGCGGTCGCCATCCATAGACCGGGCCACTTGAAGATGTCATTTGCTTCGTTCTCACCAGAAAAAATAAAAAATAAAAAATAATAAAAAAATAAAAACATGGATTACCGATTACACTTAACAAAAAATCTCAGCTAAAAATTTCCAATTAAACATAATTAATTCACTTATCAAGGCAAACAGTGATTACATTATCGACGGTTCAATAATCAAGAAACTCTACCCTTCAAATATTCAAGCAGGTGCAAACTCCCCAGCTAAACAAGGAAAATAAACTAACACAAAGGTCTTTCAACAATATAAATAAACAAAAAAACCAATGCATCTATATATGTAAAAATAAAAAAAAACCTTTTGAAACTCCGACCGACGGAACTGCTGCTGCACAACAATTCTTTGTACTTTTTTTTTCCATTTTCTTTATATAGTAGTTTATGAGGAGGCCCGTCTTCATTTCTCACGAGCTTTTCGATAAAAAACCAAACCACAAGAAAACCTGAAAACAGCAAAAGAGAAGGTATCGCACTACTGTCAACGCCAATTCACAAGGACAAAGATGTTAAAAGTTATTTCAATTGAGACCGTTTCCTACCGAACATGTAAACAAGGAATGCCACCTGTCAAGCCGCAAATGTTGATCTTAAGTTGAGTACAGCATGAGCAGGTGTTTGTCATACATAACTGCTAGAACAGGGGGAACGGAGAAACAGAAGAAAACTTTGTCAAATACAACTAAATAATATCACAAAGCCGTAAAATACATTCAGCAATATGACGATAAAACTTTATCAAATCTTCCCGACGGTCTAAGTACACAATAAGAAAACTAGTCACAATTGTGGTTGTAGTGTCCAATTCTCGACAATACAAATAAATGAATTTTAATTCTCCACCTACAGGCCTTTCCAAATTATTTAATTGTTCATTCGTGTTTGTTCATAAAACATAGAAGGCCATTACTTGTGGAAGAAATTTGAGCTATCCATATAGAATTATCACTTTGAGGTGTCAAGCACTAAATATATGTAAAACCAAATTAACGAAAGACCAAGGCCCTACCTAAGATATCTTGGAACACAGTGGCCCAAAGTGCCCCAGAACATAAGCTGAAGATCACAAAGGGCTGAACGAAGGACTGCATCACCAAATAAACACAACTTAGAATTTTGTGACTCCCAATACAGCAGAAAATTTAAATTCGGGCAAAGATGGAACCTTTATCTGCTTATTCAAACAAGCTCCGTTTTATTTTGAAGTACTTCACTGGCCACATTCATCTGTGAGTATCTGTATGTGAGAAGAAATAAAAAACATTCAGATTGCATCAAAAGGTAGAAATCTAAACTATGCACCCTCACCACTCTAACCCAACCCTGGATAAGTTGAAGAAGGTCTGGCAAACAAATAATTAGCGCAAGAAAACATGAGGTATGACTTGCCTGCGAGGCTTGTTTTGTCGCTGCCCATATTCATCTCCCGCAATCTCTGTAAAAGAAAAAACTATGTTAATACCAAATCATAACAACAAATTAAAAGTATTTAATGCCCAACTCAATGGCCAAGAGTTAAAAATGTAGGAAGCAGAGGCAAAGTGTAAGATAATGCTGTACCAGGCTTTTGTGAAGGCTTCCATTCGTTATTGGTTTTATTTGAATTTTTCTCTTTGCTGCAAATTAACGAAGATTATTTAGAATGGTAGATAGAGATGTTAAATAAAATATAGGATCTTCTGACCACGTGGCAATAAGAAGACCACTAAAACAATTATTTCAACTTCAACAAGGGAAATTTAACCAAGACAGACAGTTAAATAAATAAACAGACAACAAGAAGATAAAAAGGAACCACATAATATTAAATGAGACAAATCTAACAAACAAGCTAAGTAAAATATGATACAGGAGAGGCCATTATCTCAGAATCAAAACTATCAAAGAGGCACCAAACCACCAACCTCAAGGAACCCACAGAAGATGTTTGTCCTGATGGGCGAGCATGATAAGAACCATCAACAGTAATATAGGGAGGGCAATATGTTGCCCCCAATGCTCCTGCAGCACCCGCCAATACAGGTAACCTGAAAAAATTCAAACAATTACCACCATAGATCTTTCTCAAACTAAAGGAATCACCCCTTTATACTGAACTCCATTCTCATTGCTATATTTGAAGATATTTTTCCAAGACAGATACGACATTGAAGCAGTTCCTACGCACACAGCAATGAAGTATAAAGAAAAGATATTTGAATATAATTTTCTTTATAGCAGACAATAATTTCTAATGCAAAGTAGTCAACCACTAACTGAACTAAATAAGATATCTACTTCCCATAAACAAGAAGATCTAAAAGAAGACAAGACAACAGATAGAACCATACTGACATTAAAATAATTCCCATACCATGTCATTTCGCCCGAATTTCCTAAACCGCCAAGTTGTGGCTGAGCAACATATCCAGGGAATGCCATGCCAACAGCAGGAACTCCCATACCCCCAGTATGCTGGCCACCAAATTGCATGACTGCACAATCATCGAACCAGATGAGATCTCAAATCATAATCCATTGAAAGCTTAAGTGTTAGAAAACGAAACAAGCTAACATGCACTAATAATTTAGTCTCTATATTCTAGCTACTGTCAGTCACTGTCGATAAACAGTTCAGAGAACAACGTGGTATAATCATAAACAGTTCAGAGAAGCAGTGAAAATGTTTTCTTAGGTTACAGTGCAGGGCAAAAATTGGTAATTAGTCTAGATTATGGTTTATTTTTCATTTCTACAGTTAAGGGCAACTCTAATTCTGGAGAAATTGATAACCAGAAAGGTAATCCAATCCAATACACTTACCAGGCAAAAAGGCTGGAGTACCAGGAAAGTTAATATCTCCATGATTAACATCCATACTCCCAGTGGGTCGCATAACCGGAGCTCCGCCATACGTAAGAGTGCCCCTTCCACTACCCTGAACACTGCCTTTTCCCTTCGCAACCAGGGCACCTTGAGATTTAATTGAATCTGAAGGTGATTCAACTTCTTCCGATTTGAAGGAATTTGATGACATGGTTGTTTTGGGCGGAGAGGAAGCTTGAGATCCACTTCCAGGGCGTTGTCCCATCTGCTGAGCAGGAGCTTGCAGAGCCAGTTGAGATCGATTTTGAGCAGGATTGTGCCGAACAGCATGGAGATGTGTTGATGGAGAAGCTCTTGTCATTTGGTTCTGAGACACCGGTTGATAACTCATCTGTCCTGGGATAACGCCCCTTCCTTGAACCCTAGACTGGGGAGCTTGAGTGGTATTTACAAATGACCCAGAAGGTGACATTTGTATGTTAGTCAAAGTCTTCCCAGCAGCTGGGTTGATAGAGTCATTAATATAAAGCTTGTCCATATCAACAGATTCAGCTATATTCTTCCCTCGCACCAATGCATTGGTTTGGGGCACATTGAAACTCTCCCGCATGACAGAAGACCGAACATTTCTCTTACCACTCCCAGACTGTACATCCCGCTTTTGGGTAAGAGTGATGTCTTTATTGGAACTGGAAGAACCTGATGGGTAAAAAGGAGGAGAAGCTGAATTCAAGCTTGAGGCAAAGACATTTTTCCCAGCAAAAACTTGGTCAGATTGTGCATTTGAGTTGGGAGTAAATGTTCTCTCTGAATTACTTTGTATGTTTTTCTCGGCAGGCCTTCCAAACCTGAAAATAACATCAATGTGACAGTTAATTATAAACAAATCATAGAATAACAAAGAAAGTATTAGTACCATAAGAATCCATTGTACTCACTGCTTGTTTTGTGTTGGCTGTGCCTGTCTGTTATTCCTAAAAGCCGGTTCATACCTCCTGGGCCCTCTCCCTCTCACACCCTTGGATACCTGTAGATTATTATTGTCATATTCTTTAGACCTGTTTCCTCTGGTACTCCCACGATCAATACCTCGGTTTCTTCCGCGACCTACATAAGGACCCTTCAAAGGTTTCTTTCCCTGCATTAGTAAGCATTCCACATAAGAAAGTCAGATGAGAGATGAAAAAAGATCTGTAGAAATATTCTGCAGTATGACCATGTCTACAACTATTACCTCTTCGTAGTGCCTTTCCTGCAAAGTAATCTCTTCAAACTTATCGTGCCCCCATTTCCTTTCATCTTTGGACTCCCACAGCTTCCTTCCACCATGTGTTCGCCTACTAAAAGAAGAATAATTCAAATTATTACAGTGCTATACACCATAACTAGACCCATAAAAACTAAAACCAATGAGAGGCAATTCCAAAAAGGAAACTTTAGATATCAATGTTAAAATAATGTTATACTGTAGGAACCCCAGAGTAAAATACTAGGTTTGGCATAGAAAGTTTGGATGGGGTATCACACAAGGAAAAAGCAGTCCATCCATGTTTTCATTTTATTTCAATATTAAACAAATCAACATATAATCCACCAAAATTTCCTCAACTTTTATGATACAAGTAACCACAGCATCAAAATAAAAATGGAAAATCATTGTTTGACACAGCAGTCATGATGAGCAAATGCAGTACTTTTTTGTTCTTTTGATAGCAAAGACTGGGACAACAAAAAGGAGGTAGCCCTATAGCATCTGTGGGAAATTCAACTTGAGGCCTATGCTTACGAGGTGCATCTCAACCCGTCCAACAACAGGACAAACCCCTGGGGGTTGTGAGCCATTGTGGTGTTCACAAAACTTTGCCAAGTGTGACAATGCAAAATAAAATAATGGATACACAGAGAAGAGATATCGATTTACACTAACTTGCGATAAAGCAGCGTCCAATTTCGCGCACTAAACCTTATGAAAATCGTAAACAATCACTTCCGTGTAGGAATGAAACTGCGATGTCCACATCTATACAATGAAAGTGCAGATGATGTTTTAAGATCAACTAAATTCTACCATAAATCCTTTTAACCAATTCCACTGTTTAAACAAAGCTTGCTTAAGTGAAAAACACACCAAATATGTGAGGTAACTATCACCTTGGCATGTCCAAGAATGTACTTTCAACCAAAATAATTTAACTAACACAAAACACATAAGAAAAGTAAACTAATGGGTAAGACGAATAACATTAATAAATAAATAAAAAAAGGAAAAAATGCCAATGGAAAAACAATGATACATAACGAAGCCACCACCACAGCTGCACAAGTTTACTTCCATAGTACAATAGTACAACTCCCACCTGCAAAACTAAACCTACATTCACACTGAAGGAAAATACAATTATAAATAAATACCTGTGCCGACCACCAGAATTGTCCCTGAAACGGTCATCATGCATATAAAATGCACCCGCTGTCGGCACTGCGAATGGCTCATTCTCCTTCTTCTCCTCCCCTTCTTCGACCTGATTACCCCCATTCCCATCCACGGACCCTTCCACAGACCTCCGCCCATCACCTTCCATTTCCTTAACAGCCAAAACCTCAACCCTGCCACCTGTCTCGCCTTCACGGCCGCTCTCCTGATATCCTTCCAAGTCCTCTTCTTCCACAACTTCCTCCTCAACCTCTTCTTCTTCATCAATCTCTTCTTCTTCATCCTCTAGTTCTTCGTCATCATCGTACTCAGCCGCCCCACCCTGATCATCCGATTCATCGGAGTGAACCACGGCCCTTGGATCCACCCTTGGCTTCTCCCTCACCTCCTCTTCACCTTCCTCGTCATCGCTCGCCGCTGCTCTCCTCCGCATCGCCAGAGATCGCTTCGCTTCCTCCGGATCACTGTCATAATCCGCATCCTCCTCACCCACCGAAGCCATCAATTCAACTCTAAACCAACAAAAACCCTAAATCCCAACCAATGAAATCTCCAACAAAAAAATCCCTAAACAATCCAAGACTTCCCCAACAAAAATCAAACACCAACCGCACAAATCTTAACTCAGATAAACCCCAACCTTCGTGGAAATTCAAACGCGAATTCGAAAAAACCAAAGCCCTCAATCAAAAACCGGTAAAGACCAAAATTTCGCGGGAATCAACCCCAAATATGTACATTACCTTAAAATCGAAACTCTAGGAGTTGGAATTGGGAAAAACTAGGGATTTGGGATCTTACCCGTGAAAACCCTAGAGAGAGATTTTGGGGCTTTTGGACGACGATGCCGTCACAAATTGAAAGAGGAAAGACCTGGAGAGGAGTTAAGATTTCGATGAAACAAATAATTACGGAAATATCTGGGGCAGCAAGGTTGTTGTGCAGGGGTATTTTGGGAATTTCACAAGTTGTAGTCACTAGTCACAGACTCACTGGTCTGGAGAGGGAGTGAGGCGTCAGAGACCGACGCGAGGTAACTTCCAGCGTGGGCTATAGCTCGGGGGACAGGGGACAGAACAAGGGCCCGAGGCCCGGTGGATCAGCTCCAGCGTGGGTTAGCCCGAGGGAAGGTGGAGGCCCGAGCTTCGGATCTGTGGGGAATTGCCAGCCCAAGAACCTGAGATGCCTTATCCTCACATGTGGACCGGCTTACGTTTGTTGGGTGCTCTCAACCAATCAATTTCTGCCATTTTTGTATCTGGAAAGTCGGGGTGTGATCCAAATTCAGCATTTTTTTTGTTTTTGTTTCTTTTTTGGATTTTTCCTTTTTTTTACCTTATTTTTCCTCTCTCAGAATTTAAAAGTACCACTTAATATTACAGTTTAGTACTATTCAACTTTATTTGTAACTGAGAGATTTTATGTTTGATTCTTGGTAAAAACAAATTTGAATCACATTATTGCTAACTTATTGTGAGGTTAAATCTATCTCATATCTCTTCTATTTAATATAGATAATATCATTTGTTTAAAAATAAAAATTCAAAAGCAATTTTATAGGAGTAAAGAGAAAAGGGAAAATGATATAATTGCTTTATCCAATACCAGATGAAATTTTTTACAGGGTGTAATTGAAAAAATATTGTTTTTAGAGTTTAGTTATTATGACCCTCAACCTTCAAATAAACTAACCTCGTCTTTCATGTTAGTTTATACATCAATTTCATCGTCGTCGTTAAATTTGTTTTTTAAATTTTTTGTTAAACTTGATCCTGTGGTGTGCATATAATTTCTTTTTAATTTTTGCTCGTTGGCCATGACACGGTAATATGATTAAGTTTAGGTACATTGGCAAAAAGTTCCTAAACCCTAAACCTAGGATGATTCTAGGTACATTGACAAAAAAATCAACATTCACTCATAATTACAACAAAATGGTGCTTTAATGATGAATTTCTTGGCTATAATAATTTTCCTCACCAAAAGACACTTTCATTGTGGGTTCCCTTATGATCATAACACTATAATGTCTAATTTGGGGTCTCCAAACCTCTAATTCTTAAACTGCAAGTTCTTACAAGTCACATGCAACTCTAACAACATTTTATCTAAATTACATGACGATCCAATGGTTAGATCGACAACCCTCACACAAGTAATGGCGATTACTGTAACGATCCTTCCCCAATTTTACGGTTTTTATAATTTTAATAAGTGAATGTACAAAAATGCCCTTCGAGGTAAATGCGTTGATTTTGTTTGACTACCTTATTGTGTCACATAAGAATCATTTTCTTGATGTATTTGGGTAGTACTCGTTGCTACGAACACGTGGGTGTAAACAGAATGTAATTTGGAGTTGTAACGAAGATTTTACGAACCTTTAAACGTTGAGGGCATTTTAATAATTTGCCATTTGAAACACATGTTGTATCTGGAGTAGTGTGCCACGTGGGACCCACAAAATTGGTCCCTAATCTTCTGGGACTCTCCTTCGCTTCTTTGTCTCCCGTGACTCTCTTATCTCTCCCTTAACTTTCATTCTCTCACTTTCTCTCGGCTCCCTTTCTTCCCGTAGAAACCAAACCAGCACCAATCATTTTTCCAACAAATTAGACACTAAAAACATTATAATCATGTCCCTAGCACCCTTGGAATTGTGAATCCGTAGTTGGGTTTCGAGAATTTTTGTGGCCAAAGGCAAGTTAGAATTCACTTTTAGGAGCCGTGGGTTTCCCTTCTGTTTCAAATAATTTTCAGCCATATTTTGCACTCTAAATAGGTATAGATCGATTCTTCTTGTCGATTAGATAAATTTTCATGTTTGGATCGTATGATTTGGTTTAAAAATGAGAAAACTATAACGATTTAAGGTTTGCCTAGTTTCTGGCGACCTCTGCCATTTTCGAGGCGTTTTTCGACCAAAACACGGCGAGATAGCCATCATGCAAGGTACCAATCTCTTCTTCTCATTGAAAACTATGATTTCCATTTTTGAATCACTTAATTTCCTGGAGTATTGACAAAGTTATGGACGTTGAAATGTTGCCTAGAAATTCCGGCGAGTTACCAATTTTCCAGCAGACAGCCGTCTTTCAGGCCATTTTTTGGCCATCTCCAGCCACCATTTGGACTCCAAGTAGGTATAAATTTGTTCTACAATTCTCTATCTTCGATTTGGTATATTATGGGTCGAATTTGGTTGAGAAACAAGTGAGATATGGAGTTCTAAAGATTGCCCTAGAAATCTACAAAATCTGCAAAATCCGGCGAAGTTCCATTAAGGTCCGCCACTTGATTAGAATAGTAATCGACGATCCGATAGTTGGATTGTCACCAAACTCTAATACATTATAGTACATAATATTTGAGGACCATAAGAACTTACGTATCGAGGATTCGACGTATGGATCTTCCTGAATTAGATTTGTAAATTTATAAAATAAAATGTTAACTGCCATTTGAAATTATAATTGGTGGAGATCCAATGGTGGGATCGTAATGAAATTTTAGTATGATGTTTTAGAAGCATAATGTGGATAATTGGCCTATCGTCGATCTTTGACTGACGGTTGACTTTTGGTCAATGAGTCTCAAATCATCTAGAACGTCCTTGGGGATGTGTTTTATGTAAGTTACGTGTTCTATATATACGTATATATGTTTTCCATTTTCCTAGAAATGGTTTTAAATGGATTTACGTTTTTAAATGCCATGTCAATTGCATTACATTTTAGTATATGCATTAGTACAGATATGCATATTATTGCATGATGCTGCGGACGCCCAGGTAAGCTTTAGGTGAGTGCATATTGATGATAGTAATTGCAGTGTGTATGGTTATGTTTGGATGCATTTAATGCTCATTATCCTGCACCCCGGTGTTAGTGCTTTGCTCGAGGCCAGGGCTTAGTCTTCACGTGATCGTTTACCTCCCGCACCACATGCTTACCTTGGATCCAAGGCAGGTGCCAACCTGTTGTACAGACCACATTAGGTGGTTCCGACTCATAGGTGACTTGCGATACTTTGCACAACCTTCACGTGATCGTAGTACTTGAGCGTACTTTTTTACACCCAACCTGTCGTACAGACCACATTAGGTGGTTCCAACTTGTGTGTAGGAATAGGTTGATGAGCTATAAGCTCAGCCGTACAGGTCACGTTAGGTGACTTCGGCTGACATATCAGTTTACATTGATTTATTTCACCTGACTTACTTATTTCATTGCTGAGATACTTGACATGGCATATACTTGGTTTTCACTACTCTTGAGCATGATTTCTACATAAGTATGTATTATTATTTTCTGGAAACTATACGGGTTTTACAATAAGGGGTTATAACGTTTTCAAAAGGTTTTTATTAAAACTTTATTTTTAGGCCCACTCACCCTTGTTTTTTGCCTCTCCAGGTTTTAGCTGCTGAAAATTCGTATCGACGAGGATTCTTGGCGAATCTCAGTACAAGTGGCTATTTCTGAGGGTATGATCCTTGACCATAATACTGTACTTTACTTATGCTCTGACGTCGCGTGTGAAATGGGTTCATTCCCGCTCACAGTGCACTCTTGTCTTTAGGCACTTTTATGTTTAAATTTATTCACATTTTCCACATCATTATACCTTATGGCTTCGTCACCTTCCAGGTGTCGGCCAGCACAACTCGATTCGAAGTCTTAGTGGACATTCCGGGTCGGGGTTTGTCAATTACAACTTTAAGATCTAATGCTTGAATTCCACAAAACTGTTATAGGTTCACATATAGGAGGCCAACAATGTAGATAAACCCATACAGAGGCCTTATAGGCCACCACACACAGCAACATCTGTAGTGGTTTGAGTAATTATACGATATTAACAAATTAACACAACTTCTGATGTAGTTAGACGACATGAATGACACTGATGCATAAAGGTAAATTTTGAGGACGTCACTAGTCAATTTTGAACTTGAGGGACAAAAATAAGGCCTTTTGAAAACATCACGGACTATTTGCTCCTTTTTTTTAATGCAATAATATTCTAGTTTAATTAGGGAGAGCAGAGAAGGAATACTACCTACAAATGAGTCTCACTTAAACCTACGACTTACAAGTGAATAAAAACTACTAGACCGTAAGATCATAGTTATGCATAATATATTCTTGACATTCCTTTTTGGAGGCAGTTGAAAATCAACAATGAAAGATTGGAATGTTGGTGTAGAACAAAACTTATGGGGTGAATAACATCTTGGCCCAAAACAATTTAAGCTACACTTTTCATTTGGACTAAACCCACCGAGTTGAAAAGGAATATCCTATCCACCACTTGCTACCTTATTTCACTATTGAGTTCTTAATTGTGTTTTGCACTTCTTCATATAATGGCTCAAACCTTGACGAGCCTATTGAGCAACAATAATATTTTCTTAGTAAAATTGGTATTTTTTTGGAGCTACAAAACTAGCACATAAAACATATACTCTTAAGTACTAGAGCTATAAACTTCTTGCAGAGTAAAAATAAATTTTGTTGTCATACATTGTCTTTTATTGAGAACCAAACATTATATGTATTATATTTTCTTTATTGTTTGGCCTTGTACAAATGCTAGCAAATGACTAGTTCTTATTCTTGGCTTTCTCCATAGATCTCTTTAGTTCTTCCTCTATAAGTTCTCAAAAGAGGCAACCTATAAATTCACCACACCTCTAGTGATTTGAGATGGATTTTGAAGCTTGGAAGAAAGATTGAAGACTATTAATATTTTCTCTAAGGGCCGGCTTTTTGATGGTAGAGAGGAAGAGTTGCTCTCATCTCTTGTTAAGATATGATCCTAATTGAAGGAGAAGCTAAGTGTTAGCTTATAGAGGGAGATTAGTCAACGACTCTCTCCTT